TCTCCTTCTGGGACCATGAGTTTCTGGTACATTCCTGGTTTTCCACCATGTGATCATTCTTTAGTGTTTTGCTGGCCCCTCTGTCCCTTAGATGATGGCATTTCCTTGCATTCACTTCCCATTTCTCCCTTTTCTTCTCTCTTCTCCTCCCTCTCTCTAGCAATCTCATCTCACCAATAGGGTTTAACTCCCTACATCTCTACAACTCCACCTCTCCTGAGAAGACCAGGTCTGATTTTCAAAGTGGAAGCTCCTCTAGGCAAGTGGTTCTCAATCTTAGCTGCCCTGAATAGAATCACTTGGGATAATTTTATTTTTTTAAATTCTGAAGCCTAGGCTACACCCCCCAGACCCATTAAATTAGAATCTCTGGGTCAGAAAAAATCAGGTATCAGTATTTTTTTAAATATATATTTATTGATTTCAGAGAGGAAAGGAGAGGGAGAGAGAGAAACATCAATGATGAGAGAGAATCAATAATTGGCTGCCTCATACATGCCCCACACTGGGGATGGAACCTGCAACCTCAGGTATATGCCTTGACTGGGAATCAAACTGTGACCTCCTGGTGCATAAATCGATGCTCAACCACTGAACCATGCCAGCTGGGCAGTATTTTTGAAGTCATTTTTAATTCTCTCACCTATGGATAATTGGCTTTCTTCTGACCTGAGTTCTTTATCTGAACTGTTCTTAGAAATCTGATACTTTTTTTAAAAAAAGTCTAGCTCAAGTACTAGACTCTGGGTCTCAAATCCTGGCCTTGACACTTATCAGCTATGAGACTTTAGGGAACTTTGTTCATCTCTCTTTTCCTTAGTTTCCTCATTTGTAAAATGGGTTAAGAGAGGGAATAATAATAGGACTTACCTCATAAGGTTGTTAATTAGAAATTAAAAGCCTAGATCAGTACCTGGTATATAATAAGACATCATTAAAAACCAGCTATTATAGCTTTGAGTAGTCACTAGGATTTTAAGTGATACATTTATGACTGATCCAGTGGTTCTAGAACTTTAGCTTATATAGACTTACCTGAGAGTAACCCTGACGTAATTCACCTCTGGATCCTCTCCCACCCACACCTTCAGCCTAAGTTCTGTCAGGAGGTCAACCCTGCTAGAACTTTCCTAGAGTTCAGACCCAGAGGTCATTCCCCAACAGCCCACTTGATCCATCAAGTTCCCAGGTTCCAGAACTTGCCTAATGCACACTTTCAGAGCAGAGTCCTGACCCTTTCATACCAATCCAGAGTTTTTAAGGAATACAATGGATTCCGATGCAAGCATAATTCAAAAACAACCCCAACTCTGTATGAGAAGTCACAGGTTGGTACAAAAAATTAAGAGTGGGCAAAGTTTGCCTTTATGTGATCTTCCTTCGAAAAGGCCCTCTTCTCTTTTAACTGACATTAAGGATTTCACAGGAGTTAGTGACTGACCAGAGCCCTTGGCTTGCTGTATCTCTGTAGATTTAAATCACTTTCTCAGACAGATTTTCTCTTTAAGGCCTTCAGGCACTAACCCCACCCCTCTTTTTTTTTGTTAATCCTCACCTAAGGACATTTTTTTCCATTGATTTTAGAGTGAGTGGAAGGGGGGGGGGAGGAAGAAGGAGAGAGAGAGAAAGAGAGAGAAAGAGAAACATCGAAACATCGGTGTGAGAGAGACACATCAATCGGTTGCCTCCTGCATGAGCTCTGGTTGGGGCCGGGGATCGAAACTACAATGCAGGTACATGTTTGACCGGGAATCAAACCTGTGACCCTCCGATGTGCAGGACAATGCTCTAACCATTGGGAAACACAGGTCAGGGCTCAGGTACCACCTTTTAATGAAGGAAGAATACTGTCTTCTCCCTCAAATAAGCTAGATGCATTTTATGTGTTTCCTCCAAGAGAGAAAAGAGCTCCTTTATGGTGCTCTTGACCCCGATTCTGGCTTCTCTAATTAGATTGCAGCACTAGGCATTTTTCTTAATTTTTCTTCCTAGGAAGAACATGTCCACCATTGTATCTGGCTCTCTGCCCTTGTGTTGTTTATTTTTTTCCACCTCTGTGTAGCCAAGGTATCTAGCTCATTGCATTCTCCTTTTAAGCTGACTCTTTTTGTTTGTTTGTTTCCATTTTTGCTCAAGTCCATTACACTAAATACTGTACACATTATTATCCCCTAAACAATTTTACTCCATCAGTTTTATCGAGCAAGGTCAGGGCCCAGCGAGCTGGAAGAACAGCTCTTGAATTGGCTTTCAACCAAAACAGCCAACATCACCCTTCCTTCTCAAATCCACATTGCTCCCAGAGGGATGGAGCTTTACGTCTGTGAATAATGTATTAATTAAAGCAAATGAAAACGCCCTCATTTGTTGTAATGAATTTAGCTCTTGCAGGCCATTTTCTATGGGGTCGCTTTCCTGGAAGATGTGCTGAAGAGAATGAAAGGGAAAAAAGACATTAAGTTCATAACTGCCTTCAGAGACCTGCTTTTCACCACACTGGCTTTTCCTGTATCCACAGTGAGTTCCAAAGATGTATATGCAATGTAATACACATGTGCATATGGACGAACGCGTCTCTTGGGTGGCAAGGCTGTTTCGAGTCCATTATTTTAGACCGGAGCAGCTGCATTTGCATAAATGTCCTGAGATCTGCATCAGGAGCACAATACTGACAGAATTCTCATTAGCTTTTGTGTCTTTGTGAATGTTTGATGCAAGATCCTTATTGTTGTTCTAATAGGGAAATTTAAAGGGCCTTTCTTAATCAAAATACAACTGAGATAACCTTGGTTCCAGCAGAGTGATGGGAATGAAGAGTGCTAGGGAGAAAGATAACTCATTTTCCCTTTTATACATCTTGTTTCACTTGCTGCAATTAGCACGTGTTACTTCTACAAGTAGAAACCATACTAAAGAGATATGGGAAATTTCAAAGTTGGCACACGAAAACGGCAATTGAAGTGAGAGACAATCTGTCTGAAATACCTGGTGTGGGGCACAAAATGGGTGCCTCATTCATTTTTTTGTGAATGGACATTGGAAAGAAGCAAGACTAATGCAAGGGAGAGTCAGCTTGTTTGCTGACACTGTCCACAGTTCTATGACACTGCTTATGTTTTCATTCATTAGTTAGAATGGAAACAAACAGATCAAGCCAGCCAGCTGCCCAGCAGGACCTATAATTAGACATGACTACCTCCTTCCACTTGTCATTGTCCTGCTTCCTGAAGTATTGAGACTTCAAACTTAAATGCAAAATGAAGCTCCCCAAACTCTGAGTTCTCAGATTACAGAGCAAGTCCTGGTATTCCAGCTTCACTTTTCAGGACACCTCCTCCTTCACCCCCATAAATCTAAAGGCCAAGTTTTATTTAACAATGGAAGTTACTCATTTTTTAAGGCTTAGAAATTGAAACTTTGGAATTTAAGAAGATAAGAAAGTTGGAAAATTAATAGTTTCTCCCCCACCCCCATTTTTTCATTGACTTTGATATAGAGCACAGACAGTCAAGGGCTATGAGAGAATGGGGATGAACTTAAACCTCTGAGCAATGGAGAGATCCAGCTCTCAGTTAACTAGCTTGGGAGTTTGTCACTACTCCCCCCTCCCCTTCCTACTTCCCCTTGCCATGTCTATTAAGGGGGTGGGCAAGGAAAGTGTAAGACTCAAGGCACTCCATGTGGTGGCTCTCAGCACTCCTGGTGAGCTTAAAGAAGAGAGGTCATTGGTTAAAATGAAATGACTTAATAGTCTGCAAATCCTGTTTATCTTTATCCTCTCTGCCTGCCACAGTGACAAATAATTGATCCCTAACTCTCCAGACTCCCCAGAGAATTGATATTACAATTCTACGATATGGAATTATTTTCATTTTACATTTTTATAATGTCTTTAAAACTGGTATCTACTTTTATTTTGCTATGTTTTTTTAAAAAGCTCTGATTGAAAACAAACCTAATTCTTTTTTTGTGTTTTATTTTCCAGTTTGTATTTTTGTCGTTCTGGCTACTCTTTCTCTATGACCGAGAACTCGTTTACCCTAAGGCCCTAGATGGTATCTTTCCAGTGTGGCTCAATCATGCAATGGTGAGTGAGGGGAAAATTTAGTGAATATAAAAAGGCAACAGCCTCTGGATTGAACTCCAAAGTGCCTTGTTTGTTTCTGAACTTTCCCTCAATCTCCAACATCCTGTTCTCTCCTCCCTCTCTGTCCTGTCACTATTTATTTAAAGAGCTCATTGAGGATATAACATGAACAAAAACTGGGACTGTGATTGCAGTCATTGAGAGCAGAGGGGTGTCCAGGAAAGACTCTGCCAAGTTACATATGAAGTCATTGAAAAGACACGCAACCATAAGGGCAGGCAACTTCTGGATGGCTGCCGTCCTGAGAGAGAAGTGACTTCAATAAGTAACATGTAATGAAAATTCTGGTCCAGGAATGGAAGTAAGCAAGCTTAAGAAAACCCACCCAGACATCCAAAGACTATCTCAGAGCTCAACAGCAGCTTCTTAGCTAACACCCGATCAGGACTATTCATCGCAAGTGAAATTATTATTTACATGTTTCTATGAATACGTTCCTGTTTGTTTTTTTATTCATGCACTTATTTTTAAAGGGCTAAATAGTAAACCTGACTTACTCTGAGATATTCAGGATAGTAGTGTCTGAACACCGTAACAGTGACCTGGACAAGCGGAGTGGGAGTGAGGCTGTCCAGGTCTTGGTTGAAGGACGGGCCTGAGTCACTGGCATGAAGAAATTGTTCAACGTCTAGCTTAGCTGTTTCACACAAATGTATTTCACATTAGTTAGGAGTTCCGAATGAGGTTTCAGAGTCTGTGAAGCAAATGACATTTAAAAACCAGCGAAAATCACAAGGGACTGGCATTATCAACGTGCCTCAAGATCACAGACTTTCTTTGACCTACACCCTTCCATTGTCCTAACACTCACATGGTTACCAATCCAGAAAAGCAGCTCAGTCCACTGACTCTGCCCTTCCACATACCTCATTCCTCAGTAAAAATGTAGTTTCAGTTTTAAACATGTGTTCAAGGAGGTACTGATTACTGACTAAGATATCCAAGTTCTAAACTAATTTAGAGTTTAGGACCAAAACTATATATTAAAGAAATCTCACTTCTCAGGGACCCTCTCCTACCACCTTCTTTTTGTCTGACCACCTTACTAATTCCCATTAATGTTAATCTGAGACACCTCTGTAGGGAATATTCCTGCTTTTTCATGGTACTTTACGAAGCATGTTCCTCAAATATGAGTTCATTTAATTCATGCAATCTTCTTTTGATAACAACTATAATCCTGATTTTTACAAATTAGGGAAAAAAGCTCAGGGAAGTTAAGTGATTTGCCCGGAGCCACAGAGCTGGTAGGTGGCGACATTAGGATTTAAATCCAAGGCTAATTCTGGTCCCCCTTATCTTTTGCTGCAGTGATGGCAGAAGTGAGGTTTGATCTGGTTTCATAATTCACCAGGCAAGAAAAGATTGCTTGTTTAACACAGCAAAGTGAGAATTCTCACTTAAAAAATCCGGAATCCCCATCTGTATGCTAATAAGACCAAACTTGATTTACAAAAATGAAGTGATTTGGGATAACTGACTGAGCTAGATGTTGCTAAACCCAAAAAAAAAAAGCAGACTCTTGAAAGTGTCTTTTATTTGGGGCCAACCACATATATCACACCTTTTCCAGGCTTGGTGAGCTCATGTAGTGTTTTCCTGCAACTGTTCCAAGCTTCCCAGCTCTTTACGTTCATTTTCCAGTGGAAGTAAGGTTGGGTTTCTTTCAAATACTTGCTTTGGTGACACCCAGCTTCTGTGACCTTGCTAAACAGCCATGTGGATTTTTAGATGGCTGTACAATGTACATCACATCCAAGAGCAAAGAGGACACTGTACAGCAGATTTCCTAAACTGTCTTTATGTCTTCACAACCTGGGGTTTCTGTGTTCCTAGTCCTTTAGTCAATGAAGTAACCTGAATATCTCAGAGAGAGGGGGCTAGGGACAAAGGAGGTGGGACAATGGTGATAAAGAGAAAAGAGGAGGTGGCCACCTGTCTTCCATCGGACACAGACTCTGTGATTCTGTTCATTTAAATGGAGGAACTCCCAGCAGAGCATTTCTAGGGGAAAAGGTTGGCGTCCGCAAAACCAGCTTTGGGTATCGCTAATGTGGGCATCAAACGTCCATGCTTCCTTTTGGTGTCTGCTTCAAGTCCAGTGTCCTCGTGACTGCACCTCATCCCTCTCTCCACATGTGTCTCCTATTCTGGACATTTTCTGTCCTCATCATTAAGTCCTCCTGGCCTATTGTGTCAAGGAATGCTTTCTGCTAACTTCTTAAGTACTAGTATAAACACATATGGAAATGGCTGTTACCTGGTCACTTGTTAACACTGCCTACTTTTTAACAGTGTCCTTCCATGACAACCCAAAGGAATGAATACCTAGAAGCTACCACTGTGGCTGCCAGAATGATGATGGGCAGTCAGGCCAGACATTTGGAACTAGTTGCCTACACAGTATGTGGGAAATTGCTTCCTGTACTGCTCCTTTTTCTTTCTCCTCCACAATGTAAGAATTACTGGCACACATAGCCGGCGTCAAACTTTCCTGAAAGGTTCCTTCATTTCACAGCAGTTACGTTTTCGATTTTGTCCTTAGCTTGGAGATATTTTCCCTATTGCCATTTGTGATGATGCCCTGCATTTTATGAGTAATATTTGTCAAATTAACAAATACCACTCTCTCCTTTGGCACAGTGAAGTTCTAAAACTTCCATGATTTATCAAGTCTTTGGAATCCTCCCAGTGCAAGCTTTTTAGCTCACTGGAGACTTGTCACTGCAGTAGGATCATTCAAAGCTGACTATAATCTCTAATGGACATTTTTCTACCTTTGTCTTGTATTTAAACCAAATAGTAACATCAGTGAAATATTTGCACCAATCATGGACAGTCTGCCATTCACTGGTGCCCTAAGAACTCCCATTTGAACTAGCTGCCTTATTTAAAGTACATCAACCTGATGATTTTACTGCTAACAGTTCTCCAGTCTTCATGAAAGAAGGAAAAATATCCCACCAGGTTTGCCAGGAAAACATTAGCTCCTCAGGACTTATCAAATGACTACTAAAGCTAAAATGAGAGCAGGCAGCTTTAAATAGCAGGAAGAGGACTCAGCAGCTGAGGAAACCATCAGATAACCTGAAGGGAGCTGGGGCACATATTTCTCAGGAAATCAATCTAAATTGCTCAAGTTTCCCCCAAAGAGGGGGGCGATAGATCAGGGAACCCACTCAGAGCCTCCTCTACGTTTGAAAATAGTACACAGTTTTGAGAACGTGGTGTAAGTGTTGCTGTGGAAGCGGGGTCTATGGGGTATCACAAGAAGAGGCATGTTTGGAGGCCCACAGGGGAGGATGAGGTCTGGTGGGAAGACGTATTTGGGTGAAAATAGAAGGCTGTCTCCTGGTTCCCAATGTCCCTTCTCCATCTGTCCTGCCGTGGACTCCCAGTGCCAGAAATACTGCTATTGGCCAGAGTTCCTGTGCCATGTTAAAGCTCGTCCAGTCCAGCCTTTCTCTCTATCCAGCTAGCTTAGCCAGCGTTCCCATTTATGATCCACGGCTGTGCTGTACACAGGCTCCTCCCTGGCTGCACAGCTGCTAAGGCCATGTGGCTATAGAGAGAGGAGACGCTAGTTCAAGGGGTGAGCATGGGTTAGGGGGTGAGAGAGAGCTCTTCTTTGTTCCCTGGGATTTTATCATCTCAGGCTTGGGAAGGATCAGGCACTTTTTCAAAATAGCCAATCAACTTCCCAAGCTTTTGATGACTTCTAATGAATGGGTCCACCTCCCAACCAATCTCTCCTTTCCTCAGGCTAGATTGACAGGCCTCTATGGTCAAGCACCGCCCCCTGTGCCATTTTGACTTCTACTGTGTATGCGCTTACCTCCCCCTGTAACCCCTCCCTAATCCAGTACCAGAGGAGGGAAGAGAGGGGTGTTAAACCTCATGGGGCAATACTGTGATCCTCTGGAGTGTGTGAAGCTGTAGTTTCCTGGTGTAACAATATTGTTTGATTTCTTTTGCTTCCTTTCTTATTAATATCTAGCTACATACACTAACACAATACTTTGTAAACTATCAAGGACTGCATAAATGTGTTATTATCATGTAAAACTCTTAAACCATGATCAGAATTTTAGAAGTAAAAGACTTCATTCACAAACAATCTGCTCTTAAGAGTCGGCCTTCCTATGGCTGTGTAAAGCATCCCAAATACAGCTACTTTGTTACTTAATGTGTTGTCATTTATCACTTAAAAAAATATTATGTGGGTCATGACTGAAGGAACTGAAAGACCTCTGAGCCCTCTCCAGGACTCAAAATGTCAAGGGAGTGAAACTCTAACCTTCCAGTTTATCCCCCCCTCATAGCATGCCACATGTTATCTATCATTACATTCAGACATAATTTCAGATTTCTCTCTCCCACCTTCATGTAAAATTGTTGGGCTGCTACGTTGAGATAGGTGAGTCCTGGTGAGTAAAGAAGATTGACTGCAGGCATTTCAGCACCAAATGGCCACCCTTTGTCCACCAACATTATAGAGCCCTCCTGCACACCTTCCTGGTTATTCACCCAGCCCTTCCTCTGGGCAGAGACCCGCAATCGATATATGTCTGGATAGCTCAGTTGTTTTCAACCTTCAGAGAATAGACCCCTTTGTGAACCTAAGGAAGTCTATGGACCGTTTCCCAAAGAAAACACAAATACCCATAAAATTTTGTATAGTATTTTAGAAGGTTCATGGACCTACAAAATTCCATTTATGGGCCTCAGGTTAAGATCTCCTGTCATAACCAAGCATATACTTGAAAAGAAGGACCCCAGATGATTTCTAACGCTGAGTTCTTATCAAAAAGACAAAATTAAGAATACTCATTTTTCAAAGTCATTATTATATGCTTAGTGCTGTTTTCATTTCTATGGGGGTGATAAGAGAAATATGAAATATGGTTTCTAACCTCAAAAAGCTTAAATTATAGATATTG